CTGGAAGGGAATTATTCCCAATATTTGTGCTGCAGAAGCCTCAAGCGCCTGCTGGAAGAGCAAGGGTTATTTCTTTGAAGCCGCTGCTTGTAGCCGGCTCAGCTCGTTCCCGAAGGCCGAGCAGTTCTCAGGACCGAGGCTTGCTCCTGCTAGAAAACATTTTGGAAGCGAGACACCTTTGTCTGGCAGCTGATCAGTAACACAAATAAAAGGCCCGTGGGAAGCTGCAGGCCACCAGCTGCTGTTTATACCTTGCCCGCGTTGTTTGGGGTTGCTTGTCTGGGAAGAAAATAGCTGGGGGGGGAAAGGGTGTAAGTTGAACTGATCGCATTGTGGGCACGCGCGGGCCCCGATTCGCCCGCGACCTTGCTGCGTTATATGGGCTCCCACGAGCCCCCCGGCCCCGAGCGACGGCTGGGGCAAGGTGGGGGCATCGCTCAATTTTACTGTATAGCTGCGTTTTTAGGCGCCACGATTCCTAGTGGGATTTTTTTTTTTTTTTTCCTGAAATGAAAGACAACGGTCGTGGTCTCCAGCCCAGCCCCTTCTTGGCCCCTGTGCGATCCCAGGGCTCTCCGTACGGATCTGGTCCCTATCCCAAGGGATCTCCTTGGGATCCTCTGGGCTGCTCTTCCTCTCAGACAGCAGCCCAAGCGCATCATCTTGCCGATGCCAGTTGCCTGGGGTCTTGCCAACTTCGTTACGTTTTAGAGCTTATTTTCTTCCTATTTCCAGCTTTTTACAACAAAGTGTTTGCTTCTGGGTGTTGGAGCAAAGCCTCAGGGAAGAAAGAAGAGGGGGTTGCAAGCCACAAGCAGCTCCCCAGTTGGATTTCAATCTCCGTGAAGTTCCCGTTTTGCTGCAGAGGCACCGGCCAGGCTTGGCTCTAAATGCAGAGAGCTGGAAACGAGCCAGCGCACGTTGCCCTCAGCGCGGCAGGTCTGGTGTGCCGGGCTGTGCTGGGGACACGGTCCGCGTGGGTGACTGCTTGATGAGCCCCGGGATGCTCCCGAGCATGCAAAAATGTGAAAATACAAAGCCTGAGCAAACAAAAATGCCGTAAAAATAAGTGGAAAACCATGCCCTCTGCTGTAAGGCTTTTTGGATCAGGGAGGGCCACTCTGGGAGGCTGCACAGATGCTCTGGTGACAGGGCCAGACATTGCGTTATTTTCCTGCTAAAGAGTATCCAGAATTTTGGGGAAACCTAGGCAATACAGATTAAAGAGGGTGGCAGCTCTCTCTCTGTAGCTTTTGGACTCATGCTTGTGGGTAAAAATTACAGCACCCAATGCACAAGGTCTGCAGGGAATTGCCCAGTTTCGGGCGGAGATCCTGGCTTTTTCAGGCAGTGAGAATTCAAAAGGGATCGAATGAGGGATGACTGCCTGAAAAGGGGCATGTGTGTCCTCTGTGCTGGTTTGAGATGTGCCTTCATCCTCAGCCGGCCCCGTCAGTGAGCTGCTCTGCCCGTGCAAACGCAGCCGATACTGCAGAAGCGTGGGAAACAAAGGCCGGTGTTGGGGAAAACCGGCCGGTAAAGTCTCCGAACGGAAACTCCCTGGAGGCCCAGGGAGACGCAGAGGGACGGTGTCTTGAGCTGCAGTGCTGTTTTCTGGCACGATTGGATTGATTTCCTTTTGCGGAAAGGGCACCGTTTTGACAGAAAATTCCCAGTTGCTTGTACCTGAAAGCTTGAAGTTATTACGACTATTTCTTTTTTTTAGATGAGTTTATTCCAGTGAATAAACTGTGGCTTTGTGGAGAATTGCAGAAGGAGGAAAAGCAGCCATCCAAACGACAGCACTTTCACTTAACGAGATGAGCAATACCTTTTTTATTTTGTAATGGCATTAAAAAAAAAAAAAAAAGAAATCAACCGTGGCGTTTTCTAAAGCGCTCTTAGCTAAAATGTGGTTTATAGGGCAAGGCTGGGAGGTTTTGTCTGCCTTCGCAGGTGCAGTGTTACAGCTGTTATTTAGCTCATGCAACACCAGGGTCTCAACTGCCAGCGGCTGACACGGCCTGACCCAAATTGCAGGAGGCACAAACTTGCACCTTCACAGATATAAAGCGGCGTCTGGCAAGCTCGTATCTGAGGCGGAAGCGCAGCTCTTTAAGTCCAAAGTCAGAATGAATCCTAGCCTGAATCACGTGAATTTTCCTGACGTCTTTCATCAGCTGGGCAAGCAGATTTCTTTGCTAGCCCTCTTGAAAGCGTGAGCCCCTGCTCGGGGGGTGCCTGGTCGCCCTGAGCTCGCCGGCGCGTGCTACAGGTGTCAGGTGTGAGGCCTGAGCAAGCGGCACCGGGAGCTCTGGGGTGATGCTTGATCCCTCTTCAAAGCCCAGGTGCTGCCCCGAACGCGCTTGCCTGCAAACGATGCTGCAAATGGGGGAGCTGGGGGGGGGGCGACGGGTGCTTGCGGGCTGAGG